TCTCCAATATGATTGATATGGAAATAACTACATTGTTTGTCAGTTAAGGGTCTGCAATGATAAGCCCTGTATCTAATCCTCTTTAAGGGAAAGAAAACTAAGCCTGAGCTTGTTAGTGACTTGTTAGACACTCGCAACACTAAAAACACGAAGAACTTCCTTGCAAAAAGAAGAAATTATTCCGCAGCGATGACTACCTCTTTCCAGGCTTTTGAGATGGCAATAATCTAGCCATTCAAGAACCAGTTACACATAGAAATCTATACTACATTGAAAATAGAATGGAGAGGAATCAGCCTTAAAAATGGGTGAAGATTTTATGGGATAAAAATCGCTGACAGCTGTGTTGCTAATGCTATATGAGCAGGCTTCAAGGGCAAAAAATGCTCGCTTAAGGATAGTTCTTTTATTAGTCATGAGAGATCAGGGCCATGATTCTGCAAGAAATAAAGTTACAAGAATTTTGAGGCCCGAACATACTGTTTAGAGCTTTATGACGATATTCTAGAAGAAGATAATTCGATATTTGAACTGTTGGACATGAATATATGATTAATTGTAGGTTGTGGAATATATGAATTAACATAGGTTATAGAAGTGCAAATTTAAATTTTTTTTTCATGAAAAATATGAGATTTTTTGAAAATAAGGCGTTTTTGGAGCAAAAATTAGTTATAAACTCGGTCTTATTTTCAGGGAATCACGCTATTAATATATTATTATTTTAATGTTTTCCATGTATTAGGTAGATCGCGAGTCACTTCGCAGAGAAAAAATGTAACTGATTCTCATGGAAATTTGGCGCAGTCAGTCCTGTTGTAAAATAATAGTAGGATATTTTCAAACGCTATACATTGTAACATTTCTAGAAATTTAATAATCCCCTTGAATTTTATAGTAACTCCAAATTTAATTTTTTTACTATTATTTCCTTTTTCCTTTTTACACTGTTTGTAATTGTAATTCAGTTTTATATTCAGGATTATTGTAATTACGCTGACTAGATCTGAATCTCTTTTTGTAGTTCTTTGCAGTCCAAATTATTGTGTGATTATTTTATAGTTATGAACATATCCTAATAAACTCTTACCTGATGAAAAGCGAATAGAAAACCATCTTCTGTTGTCTGAATCTTAAAATACTTGTAATTGGGAAAATAAGAGAATTATCCAATTTTGGAATCGGCATTAAAAATTTACAAAATTAACCGCAAAATTCTGTTTCATACTGCTAAAATAATTTCAGAAAATATTAAGTTGTTTATTTACTTTCAGTCGTATATGGTATTTTATAATCAACGAGGTAAATTTAATGTAATCACGAATTCATAAAGCAAAATCTGGTCTTACTGCTTCACTTCAATTAATTTTTAGTATAAAGTAGGTATAAAGTTCATGCTATAACGAAATGGACATCCTAGTTGTCTGTCTAAATAAGTAAAATAGTTAAAAAAATTTAATACATTAAAATATACATTCAATTATTATGATGGCGAATAATAATTATTATCACGAGAATAAATATCATGAACCATATGAGAATTAAACCTTTTTGTTTCGTATGTATCATTAATACTATTGTTAAAAATAATCGTCTTTATTCGGAAGCAAAAGAAAGATTAAAATAAAAGGACGACAGAAAAATTTGAAAATTATTCATTTACGAAAACAGCGATATGAAATAATAGTATCAAAATGGGAATCAATACACACGCTTCTAAAACAGGGTTTTATTAGTTAAGAGGTGCTTATAAAATTGAATTAGCACTTATCTTCACGTTAACGAGACTGTAATAAACGTAACGCACATCGTTAAATAGGTACTATTGAAGAATTAATGGGATTTGTCTAACAACAGTGAGCTAGAGTGTTCTTTAATAAGTAGAGAATTCGATTGTTTATTGAAAATAATTTCTCTATTAATTTTTGTACGGAAATGAAGAAAGAAATGAAGCTAATTTATAGCTTTGCGCATTCAAAACATGGCAGAAAAATGTTCCCTTTAGAGGAATTTTTTACTCTTTCGGTGTGCGCATCAAAGAAAGTATAAACAGTCATCTATGTTTCTTGAATGGTTTTTAAAGTCTTATTACGTTAAAAAAAGACATAACAAAATGCATACGGACAAATTAAAAAAAATTATGAAATAATAAAGAGCAATTTTAAACTTAAATACATACCGTGTAAACGACGTTTTCTTATATTGCCACTAATTCGGCGGCATTATTTATTGTTAAATTGCATAAGTGTCAGTATTTTTACACTATGCTTCATGTTCATCAAAATTAAGTTTCTTATTATCTTTATCTATTATTAATTGTGTATAAGCATACCTAGCTCAATTTTGTTTGCTGTGTTTAAAGTTTTTACAGTTTGACAATACTTATTTCCCCCCCCCCGTTCATTCTTCAGTTTATTGGAATATATTATTCAAAATTATGATGAGATTAGCAGGCTATAATAAGCAGGCTTAAAAATTGCACTAGCATAAGTATTTAAAGCATCGGATGTTTGATTTTATTTGTATTCTCTACAATGGTATGCGAAAACAAAAGCTTAGTTCTTCCAAGACGTAAAAAAATTGTAAAATTTTGTGTTCCAAATTATTCGTAGAAATATATTGTATTAAACTTGGAATAAAATTAAAAATGGAAGTTTTTTTTGATATATTCAGTTATTAGATGTTGAAAAAGAAGTACAAACTATGTTTTGCGTTCAGGGTTTATAACTTGAAACATATTTCCTATTATCATTGGTAATCTGAAACTTCTTCCAAAGCAGTAAAAATAATTTTGCTATTGGGAAGATTTTGTGGGAACCCGATATGGAAGATCATCAGTGTAGTTATTTTAAAATGACTGAGAATTTGTGTGTGGATTTGAAACATTTCAGATTTAGGTAGTCAGTCTCTGAAATATAATATATATTTCCTTAAATATAGAATTTTATTCTGATCTATATTATTTTTATACACTTTCACAGTATTTAAAATCTTACGACCATGAAAAAATGTTGAAGTTCTGTCATGCTGAATTATTTTAATTCTCCGTAAATTAGAATTTAGCTGAAGATGCTGCTCATTTACAGAGTCCGTAAACTTTTCAAAGCAAAAGAAATGACTGTTTGCTTAGTAAATTTTAAAGTAATTGCTGAATAAGTATGAAAGGAAAACTGAAAACAATAGTGCGGAAATTGCAGCTAAGATATGACCCTAACTTTGGCTATACTCTAGCTAATGCCTATTACCATTATCATTAAATAACTGAAAATAGACATTAGTTTATATGGAACAAAAAGCACTAAATTCGCGAATATCATTACTTGGGTGACATAGACTAGACTAAAATTCAGGTCAGGTTTGGGGAAATCAAACCTTTTTAAATTAATGAGCTTGAGTGATGCAGAAAGCATTCACGTGTAGGATGGACGATGCCACTTGTTTCGGATGAGACATTAGACATGAGCATGAGGATAATAAATGCTGCGCAAACCAGTTTTATACAGGGACACCTTTAAAGTTTTTTTCTAAACTTCAGAATGATCAAGAAACTATTAATTTCCTTGATTGTTAGCTGGTTAATGCTTATGGAGTTCTTCTTTGATATTGGTTCTGACTCTTTCAGTGTTTACGTGGAAGACTCACAATAAAGCAATTTTTTCTAAACTTTGTATTGGTTTTAAAACAAATAATAGTAGTAAATCCGATTTTAATGATCTGAAGAACAAAAAGTTCAAATAGTGAAATCTGATTTTCGAAATGTTAAGTCTAATGGATCGGCTATTTTAGAAATAAAATCACACTACTTATATTTGTTTTTCTTTCTTCAAATTCACCTTGTCGAATCCAAGTCTGATATGAAATACCTACACAAATGAATAACCACGAAAGAGTTATTTGCTTGTCAAATATTGCTCTGAATTTTGATCCAATGTATACTGTAATGGTAAACTATATATGAATTATGTACAGCATCATATGTTGCGAATGTTTTTCGCTTTAATTTGTTATCAAAGAGATAGAATTTTCATTAAAAAAGCATATTTTTATCTTACTTGTCTTGCTTTCAATAAAAATTTCAAGAAAACATTCATCTAGTTATAAAATTAATTGTTCGCAGTAATATTCAGAATTAGAGAGTAAGAAGAACTGAGCACAAAAAAGAAACACGAAATAGTAAATAAAAGGATTACTAGAAAGATAAATAATTAATAGAAATTTTGTAATTTAACAGTTATTTTGAGCAATGCATCTAATCCTAATTCAATCTCTGAATTTTAAACATTTATTCTATTTTAAAACAAGTTAAGTGAGCAGCAAAGTTTTAGAGTTTCCATGGATTTCTCAGGACTTACTAGTGTATCGTAAGTTAGAATTATCTCCCTGTGTTATAGCAAATTAATACTTTTATGTAACCATCCTTGATTTAAAGCGTACTATTAATTTTACTTAGTTTAGTTTACTTATATTAGTTAATTCATTTACATCAGTGTTTAGTTATAGTAAAATCAGAATTGGCGATGTGCTCGTGAATTCTGCTTTGCTCTAACAGAAACATATATAAATTGTTAATGGAAATGTTAATTATTTTCAAGAATCTAGAACCTCTAATAAACATATTTATCTTTGTGAACATAAATATAAGCATTTATTAAAAAACTGGCACATTTTGCAAATACATGCACTGAAAAGCATTGTGATTTCATTTTCTCATAGAAGCAAGCATCTATGCAGTTTCCAATTAAACTTTAGAAGACATTATGACAACCTTTATTTATGACAGCATTTAAAACATTTAATAGAAATTAACATAGTATAATCACTAAGTTCTTAAGGCTTATGTATATTTAAAAATACTTAAACTAAAATGCAGTAGAGCTTAAACATAGTTTATAATTAATTTAAAGTATTTTCTACATGTTATTCTCATTCAAATTAATTTCATTGCGATGCATTATTTCTTAGTTTATACAAAAGTAGAGGCGATTAAGAAAATGACCTACCGGCTGTCCTCGCACTGCGGACTTGACCATTGTGACCTCAGCATTGCCCGGCAGGAGAACCGCCTCCGGAGGGGGGCACCTCTCGGGCCCCTCCGCAGCCGCGGCTGCTGCCACACACCTCTGACGGTGCTCTTGAGCCATCTTTGCCATCTGCTGGTTCCTCGCCTTTCGCATACTTATCCTCTTCCCAAGGTAACCAACCGTTGCATATTCCAGCAAGGAAGCGAACACCATAACGAAGCAGGTTCCTAAATAAACGTCAATACTTTTGACATACGAGATTTTGGGTAAGGCGGAGTTGGTACTGGACATAAGGGTGGTCATTGTGAGCACGGTGGTGACCCCCAGGGCTACTCTTGCAGGAGTGGCGTTTCTGTGGAGCCAGAAAGACACCCATGAAATGATGACTATCAACCCAGCTGGGATGTAGATTTGAATTAGATAGTAGCCCATGCTCCGCACAAACTGAATCTCACACACTAATCTCGAATAGTTACCTGAAATGAAATTATATTTAAGAAGTATTAGCAAGGAATACACTGTAGAAATAAAATTCTTAAACACTTGTCTAAAATTGTAATACCTTTGTAGGCATAAAATATAACTTTTGAAATATTTCACGGAAGTTTGTTCTAGACTTACCATAATTGCCCTTTTCTGTTTAATCACATTGCCTTAATTTTTACCACAGCAAATAAAATGGTTAAAGCTTTGACAAAAACTACTCATTAGAATACGAGAATAGTGTAGTAAGATCTCTCCAAAAAGATAAGACAATATGAAATTCTTATAGCTACTTATTTCTGCGTTGCAGTTGAAGAGTAAACTTAAACTTCCCGCTCGCACCATGTTACTCCGAAACATTCGCTTTGTGTTTTTCTTTAGGAAAAGTCAGTATAGAAGGAAGAACTGATTTAAACTTGCTGAGCATAAACTCCGAATAAGAATCTTAAGTCTGTCAAATAAAGACGATTCAGTAAATTAAAACTGTTGAACTTTTCGGCAGTGCACGGATTGTCAGGAAAATGAGATGGCATATATCGAATACTGAAAAGGTACGTAAAGGTAACGTAAAGAATATGTAAAGGTACTTCGGGGAATTTTGATCGTACTTAAAGAAGTACTTCGCCTATTCAGATCACAGATATTTTCTGAAGTCGAGTGACTGTGTGAAGTGTCGTAAGATTTCATATTCAGAGCAAAGAGATTTAATATAGTAAACGTCAAGATGAGCTGTCATAAGAATACGAAAATAGACTGCTGTATTACTTGTATACTGTAATGTATACATCTTGTCTAATTTTATACACTCATTTCTTTTGCTTGCACATATTAAAAGCTAAAGTTTTAGAATCAAATAAAGTTTTGATGGAAATATAATTTTGTTCTTTATATTTCTAACAAAATCAGTATTACTGTCTAGGATAACGGCTAACAAAAGGCTTGTCTGCATGTTTTTAAAACATGCTTATTAATATGATTGCAACACTTATTGCATCCTTTATCATGTTGCGGTATTGTTTATAATATTTCAAGAATTTGTCCAACTACGTATTATTTGTTCTCAACATTTCTAAAAAAGGACATTGAATAAATTAAAAAATACTAAAAGTAGAGTTTAAGCTAGAACGTGAATTGTTTTTACTCAGCGAAATGTTATTTTGCTTTTAATGAGCCATTACCTAATTTGATCATGAGGGTAGCATAAGAAAACCAAAATTTTACATACACTGCGTTGTTATGATAAAGCTAAATTAGGAACTGAAACAATACTGTTTGTTTTGAGTACACAGGACATCCATCTTATCAGGCAATGCAAGAATTGGATCATTAATGATGCTTTCTAAAATATTTTTTCTTCAGAAAAACGTCTGTTTTTGGCAAGTCAGCCATTTAACTCTGCGCCATCCCGTATAGCCTTACCTATCCTTCCATTATGTCTTCTCGGGTTTCTACCTTTAGAGCGTTGCAGATGCGGAGATCAGCGTTCCCTTCTTCTGACTTGCATATGGGGAAGCCGACAATCTTTTTACAATCAATTTCCATCTTTTTACCAACAGCAGCTGCCCTCCACGCGTCGTCCATGGTCTTGACTGTCATGATATTTTCCTGTTTTCCTCGGATTTAAGGTGGTTTTGTTAGGCTCATCTGCCCAATGATTATTACCCCACTACATTAATTCAAAGAAGTTAGTACATCTAACACAATTTATTCTATCAAGATATGGGCCTCTTTATATCGTATCTATGTAGGTTCTAGCGTATATAAGAAACAATCGTTGAAAATATGCCGATAGGAATGTAAGTGCTTTAATAGCGTAGCACACTTCATACATTTCATAAACACTAAATTCGCATATCACGCACATAAAATAATAATTTTCACTTTAAACTATAATCTTAAGCTTCCCCATCGACAATTTATATCTATTATGCATTATTCTATCTAAAAAAGGGGAGATGATTATTAGAATCCAGAAAAAGAAAATTTGCTATGTTGCTGTCCATATACAGTAAGACCCCGCTTAATGCTATTTCAGCATGCATCCATTTCAGTAGAAGTGTTTCTTTTTGTCGCCAAACACAACTCCGTTAATCCATCCAATGGATAAAGGTATAATCACAAATTTTAAAATTTATTATCTGCGGGGGACATTCCGACAACTGATTCATACAACAGATGGAGAAGATACACAATCCATTATAGATTTTGGGAAAAAATGCAATATCATGGATCCTGTAGATAACATCAGTTTTTCTTAGAATGAAGTGAACAAGGAATGCGTGAAAGGAGTAGGGCAGAATATAGCTGCAGGTAATCAAGAGTACTGACACAACAGAATTCATTGTTGACATTGACAAACTTGTCAAACTAGCTAATGAAACAGGGTTGGATAATGTAAAATTGAAGTTTAAATAGAAGATTTATTGAAAGCCATAACTGGTGAAAGTCTTTCCAAAGACGATCTTAAAAAATTAGTCGAACAACAAGTGCACTAAGAAGAAGAAATTAGTGCTTCTGAAGATGAGGAACAAACAAGAGCTTTCCATGGATTTTATAAAAAAAAGTTGAACCGCTTTGATGAAAATTATGGATAAAAAAATTTTAATTTTGATAGATGTTCAAAGGTTAGACAAAATGTCATTGATATGATGTCTGACTATCGATAACTGATTGATGAACAAAACAGGAAATGTCAAACGACGCTAAGATGACTTCACATAAAAATAAAATAATAATTATCACATAAAAATAAAATAATAAGTGTCAAATGAGGAAGAAACTTCCTCATCATAAACAAACTTCCTCATCATAAACAAACTTCTTTAATCGAAGTTTTTTAGACTTTCATGAATATTTAATGAATAATAATTGCTATTAGCAGTAAGTAACTCTACAATTAATGTAATCAAAGAGCACTTAATAATAAATGTTACAAAAAATATAATACTTTTTTTTTTATTTCCTCCACTGTTTCACCTATCCCTATTATTTACCAGTTAGATGACTTTGTACAACGCTTTTTCGTTTAGCGCAGAACCTTATTGGAACGTATCCCCTGAGTTAAGCAGGATCCTAGTGTATTTTGTTGTGTAAATGATCAGTGCGCAGATTTATTATGATTTTTTAAAAGTTATATATTTTTCAAAATACAAAATAATTAATGACTTTAGTTCTTATTTTTGGAATGTGAAGTTTTAATTTTGCTGTCTTCTTGGATCAAAACTATTCAAGTACTTTCCAAGGTCAAAGGAGTGAATAATTTATTATAAGGTAGTTCCTAGTTAAAAGTGCACAAGATCTTATATGTGATCTCTTTTAGTTAGTTTAATAAGTTTGCACATATTAACAAAATATGGAAAGCTTGAGAAAATATCTTGGTTAAGGTTTTTCTAGAGAAGCGCGTTTATAGAAGTATGAAAGCAATTGAAATTTTATTTCATCTCCTTAAATCTTCCACTCAAAACTACGAGGTTTCTGTCGTCAGGTGGGGCACGTTATCTCTCTTAGCACAAAAGGCTGTAAAACTGTATTAGGTACAGGATGCGCTATTTATCATCTCGAAGGAGATCAAACTGTATATTCTTAGAAATGGAGGATGGAATGCAATAATTTACTGTATCAAGCAGAATCAATACCAATAAAAACGGCGACTGCTTATTATCAGTTCAATTTCCAGGACATAGCGGTGATATATAGTGACTCGGCTTCCAGTCTTGCCACAATCTCAGCAGGACGAAGCCGAACTGTCTTAGTTATTCAAATACGTGAAGCACCGCTTGAATGTTCAGCCTGTAGCACCCCTACTCTCTGCTGGGTACGGAATCACTATGGTATTCTGGGAAATGAGCAGGCAAATATCATTGAGATAAATGCGGCCAGCGATCCATCTCTTCTGGAATATGCCGTTTCCCTCCCAGTCACATTTCTGGAAAGGTCCATCCGCAAATATCTTCTTGTGCAGTTTTCGGGCTCAACGGCGAAGAGCTGGTGTACCCGTAGGCTGATGCCGAAAGTTAGGACAGAAGTGCAAACTGTTTCTAACAGATCACGGCCCCTTTCTGTCCTAGCTAAGGCGAGTTTGGTATAGTAACACCAACATCTGTGATAGTGGCGGGCATAGCAACCCTCCGATCATATGTGAATGTCCCTTTACTCGGGACCACGATTTCGATTGTAAATACAGAGAAAAATGTGTCATCCAAGCTAAAACGGGTACGTTTCCCTTTAGCATTTTACATAATTACGCAAAAAGTTAAAAAAGAGTTCATTTCTTTTGTAAAACTCTTTATAGCTTTTTATTGTGCGTGTTATTCATACTTATTAGCACTGAAAAAGAAAAACTTAAGTGAGAGAATTACGCTAATGAGCATTTTATTTGCAAATTATGCATGACATTTTTATGTAAAATTTATGAAAATGTGTAAGTTTGCTGGCTACGTATGGCTATTCATGTTACCTTGAACTTTTAAAGATAACAAATAACTTCGTTATTTAACTCGTTAAAATTTTGGGATTAAGAAAATGACTTTTTTTCTATTGAAATTTTAGATGCAGTAATTAAAACGTTAAACTTAATTTCGTGGACTACACAAAGAACAACTGTTAAGAAAAGATATACTTTTAAGAAAAGAAATTAGTTAAATGTAGTTTACCTGTCGTGAGGTGTTCTTCTTTTTGATCTTGACGATGCCCTAAAACTTTGAACTGGGGTAATTCGACATCGGTCGACATACCAATAGATTTCTCTCCGTCTCCCCATTTATAGCGAATATCCCGCATAGTATATCCAACTGTAAAACAGTTACAAACAGTTACACGGCTCACAGAAAAGGTCCGTGCATATGCATTTGAAATCATAAAATTACTTACAAAGTACTTAAAAACAATCTTAATGCTGTGAAACGCAACCTAGAGAGGTAATTAAAATTAAAGCTTTCATGGTTATACTGTATACGCTTGTGTAATGTCCGCGCTCATGTAATGTCCTCACCCCAACTTTATAGATAAAATTTATGTAAACAAAAAAGTGACCCGCGCAATGTTCGCACCTCAAAAACTAAAGGATTTCTTACCTTAAAATATATTTTTTTAACATCGTCTTTTTCGCTTTAGTCAATAACATTAATCAATAAACATCTTTAAAGAAATAATATGCATTTGTTTTTGTCTTTGGTTGGCGCCAGGATGGAAAGCAGAGACCTTCTTTGCATTCTGGTACAGCTGTTATTCAGTCATAATATCGGCGTCAGCAATCCACTCGGCAGACGCGATAATAATGAAGGCAGTCCAAACAGGTTTTCACCACACTGGCTTCCAGGAAATACTGTTTTGTAATGAAATTACTTCCTCCTTGAAGCATTCGCATATTTCAATTTTTCTCTTTTCAGTCATGGTATCATTTGGAATTCGTGGTAATTAGCAAGTAGCGTGCTTGAAATGGGAAAATACAGAAGCTATACAACGGGTTTTAAACTGAAAGTCGTAGAATTTCCGCAGCAAAATGGAAAAAGAGCAGCAGCAAGAGTATATAAGGTGGACGAAAAGTGTGTGCGCAATTGGAGCAAACAGCGTGATCAACTGGCAGCAATGAACAAAGCAAGACGTGCGTTTAGTGGTTCGAAATGTAAGTTTCCGAACTTCGAAAAAAGGTAGTTGCATATGTTCGTGATATGCGTGCTCAAGGGTACGCAGTAACGCGGGAACTGTGCTAAATAAGAGCACTTGCTGCTGCATTAGAAGAAGACATTCCTACATCGCAATTCAAGGCGAAATGGAATTTCATACAGTGCGTAAGAACATATATTTTTTTTTTAAATAATGTGTGCAAGATAGTAAAAGAACCAACGTTTATTTAATATGTATAAAACTAAATATTAAAATTGCAAGTTTTCGTTAATTTGTGCTTCAATACTGTGCTCCTGTGCGAACTAATACGCGCCGAGTGTTGATAATGCAAACGAGGTAGTTTATATTATATATGTGGATGGGAGAAAGTGAGTTAGTAAATTTTAGGTAGCTATTAGACAACTTTGATACTTTTATTACTTAAGCCATTTTCTTCTACATAGAACTTAACTCAGTTGTTTGAAATGAAATTTACACCCAAAATTACTCAGGAGAAAAGCGTGACATTTGAACAACCCGTGTAACGTCCGTACCTGCATTTTAGTGTTGTAATTTTAGTAAAAAAAGTGCGGACATTACGACGATACATATAACATTTTAGTTCTAAACGAATCTTTATTTTCAGCGAAATAGGTTCTTCTGTTGGTATTCTAGGTTGCGATTATATACAATTTTATCTGAGTCTTTATTAATAATGCAAAAAATGAATATTTAGGTTTCATGCTCGCATAAAAAAGTTATGCATTGTAAATTATAATTAATGTATTAAATTTTAAGAACAGTATTTTTTATTGTCGAATTTAAATTATTTGAAAACAAGAACTCTTCTTTATTTGCTACGTAAATAATTAGTTTTACTCAAATCTTTCTAACTTCAAAGCAGATCAGAAGATACTACTTACAACTTTCAATCTCGAGAAAACACACTTGTCTGTCCATCGGAAAGTACTGCAAATCCATAGGACATCCAGCAGTTACAGTCAATCTGAAATGGAAAGAAACTTATTGTTAAAGATGTAATAACTATCGTGCTTTTGCAATTTTACACTAGCCATATATACGCTATAATATACATACATTTCAATATGTTAGAAAAAGACAATTTATAATGCAATTATATTCAACGGACGAAAGAAACCTGACTTCATTTAAAAAATGTTTTGCAATTCTCATTATTCTGACAACGAGGATTCTAGTTTACTTTAACTATGCGTGATTAGGTTGTTTTGCATTCATACGTTTAACTTTCAGATTTGTTGTTTTTTACTCAAACGCATGGCAGACTAATTAAATTCGTATTTATTTCAACTCTAATTAGAAACAGTTGTTTTATAGGAGATAACGCAGGGTATAAAAAAAGAAGCGAATATTCTGTTATTAAGAACACTTTTTCATTTCAGGACTGTTGATTAAAATAACTGTGCCAGCTATGTTTAATACCATAAGGAAGCTGACGTTAATAAGACCTGTTTTAATTTAGGAGAATGTATCGCTGCATTAAATTTAAGTTCTTTTTTTTTGTTTTGCAAAATTAACCAGTTGAACAAAATTATATTGAACATCACCCTGTACGTTGCTTTATTTTATTAATGAGGTTTCGTTGATTTAATACATTCAAGTAACTAATATAATACACTACTGAAATAATTTTTTTATTAGAATCATAATTGTATAAATCATAAAAGTAAGGAATATTTTTCTCTGTTCATTGAATGAAACTTGTTTTTATAAGTGTTAGTGCTATTGAAATATATGAATTGAATATATTGCAATAGCACTAACTATATTGAAATACTGAATTTTTGACTCAGAACTATTGCTATTGCAATAATCAAAAATCGTTTTGTTAGGCGACACGCATGCCGGGATATCTTATCGAGGTATATAACAATTGACATATGAAGCATCTATTGTTAGCAGCAATAATGATTCAAATCTTTATAAAATTTTCACTAAGAAATGTTATAAATTACGTGTATCAGATATATCATAAGCCTGATAAACAATATGATGCAAATGTTTAAGCATTTATCAGCTAAATATAATATAAATTACATGAATTAACTACATAATAAACCTCATGAATTATATATATTATAAATTATGCTAATTAGAAATAGCATCAAAAGTAAAGGTAATAAATTACAACGAAATGCGTATATTGTTTTTAAATATCTCTGTTAATAATTCAATGTGCGATTTCAGTTCAAAAGATAAACGTTCTGTTCAATATTATGGAGCATCGAATGGCAACACCTCTAAAATGCAGCAATATGCTAGGCCATGCACATGATCAATACGCTGATAACATAATGCAGCACAACAGTGATGTAAAGAGGAGAGACTGAGATATATATATTTCCCCAAGTTTATAATAGTATTCAAAATTGATTTCAATTTTATTCAAACACGCTATTTCCATATTTTAATACATTTGCAAAAGCAGGAAAACTCGTTAAAATGGGGTATTTATTTGTGTTGTTTAAATTGTTTTAGATTCGACTGAATAGAAAATATCAACCATAAAATTACTCGTCTTAATGCACTTTGTATTACATTTCAGTGAGCAAACTATACATTAAAACTCTGCTAAAAGAAAGTGAATTAAGAATTTGCTTGAGTACTTTAAAAAAAAATTCATCTTTTCTGGAGTTGGACAATTTATGTTAAAAAGTGAATATTCTTAATCTTTTATTCTCGAAATTTAGATGCACTTGGAAAATTTACGAACTTTTTTATAATTTCTCTTCTCTTATCATCTAGTTGTCAAATATTAAAGGGAAAAGATCTTTTATAACTTATGTCGGATATTTTATAACTTATGTATAGTATGTGTCGGATTGAGAGCATGTTAAAAATGATCTTTTCATATGCTCTGTTTCCCTAACGAATTCATTTGTTCTGCAAATTAATAAGTCGTATCTATAGAAGAAAGTCATTTAGCAAGTGCGAAGCAATTATTTTAATTCTTTAATTTAATCATTCTAATTCCTGTGATTTTGGCTTCAAGAAATTTTAAAGAAACCAAAGGTTTCTTCAAATCGTGTATTTGCAATCATTAATAAATAGTAAAGTGTCATTACAAGTGATTCACAAACGAGTATTCTATAACTGATGCACATAGAATTTAGAGGTAGAAACATATTTTATTAATTGTTATTATTCTGCAATGTTTTAAAAATATTAATCGGAAACATTATAAAGCACATGGATTAGATGTATTATAAACTACATCAATTAGAAATATTATTAAGTAATAAAGGTATAAATTATACATGTACGTATCTTGCCTCAAAATATTTCAGTTAAGTAACTTTTGTGATTTGGAAGTTAAAGTCTTAACGAAATTCAAATAGTATTATTTCTGATCACTGGCAGTTTGCCAGGCAACATAGTAAATAAATGATCCTATGCTACATGGAAATAGTAACGCTTTCGAGGCCTCATGGATAATGTATGCTCTGGTTCAGTAATGTAACGTAGCGTAACGAAAAAATACTAAGCTATAAGCTATTCTATGATCAATAATTCTATATCAATAATACGTATTATTGATCAATAATATGATCAATAATACGAATAATCTTATTGTTCCAGAAAAAAAACTGTTTTGAAAATTAATTTTACTGAAGCAGCAATTAAAATACACGAGTTATTACGAAAAATTTGAAAAATAATTAATTGAATTAATGTCTTACAACCGTTACCATTTGTGATATAATCAGGTAGACGGCTAACGTTGATTTTGGTTTTTGAAATTACTTGTAACAGCAATGATGATTAACTGTGAAAGCTAAGAAGATACTTCTGCACAAGATCCATTAACAAAATATTCCACTAACATACCCAAATTATGACATGTACAACTAAGCTTTAACAGTAAATCCCCAATATTCCAAGCATTTGTTTCAAATGTCAGTGCGTGATGTGGTACACACCTACGGCGGATATAATTTACCCCATGAGAAATCTCGCCATGGGCGCATATTCTTAGAAATAGCTCAACATAATCCTTTTGTAACGAAGAAACTTGGAGACGTATGATTATAATTTATGAAGGGAAAACAGGTTAGGCCTGAAATATCATAGTAATACTATTTCAAACATATGCTTCTTCGGGATCAGAAATTCACGACATAATTTGCTGAAAGCTTAAGAGAAAATATTAACCTGAGCATTCTGCGTTTATAAAAACATCTGATACTTATTAGTTTATAGTGCAATCTTTTTGGAATTGTATTTTACGGAACACATTTCAGATATTTTCCATTTACATTCAAATTAACGTTTTCATCTTCTGCTAAGGAAAGAGAGTTGCATCTGTTTACCTAGAGATGTATTATAAGTGTATTTTTAGAGTGTTTGTGAGGTGTGCTCATACAGCATAAGATTTGTATGTAACATAATCGTAAAAACACGTTGCCAGATTGCAAACGTAGAGCAAAATAATTTATTCCAAACTGAGCCAATCTAGTAAGTGTGTAGGAGTCTAATGTAAGAAAGCTGAGGTACTTCTGCAGTGTGATTAGAGAGCAGCTGTAAAATTTCCTTATTAGATTTCTGCAAAGTTGTATTTTGTCCAATCGGTTTTCTGAAGTTAAAGAGAAGAAAAGTCTAGTTCCAAATTAAAAGAAACACCAAGCGTGAGACTTGATATATGTATGCATATGGCAGTATTAGACACAACAAATGGAAACTGCAGCTGTAAATGTAGCAGAAAGAATATAGTGGTATCCTTTCCTATGTAAAACCTTTTAATAAAAAAGAGAAACTAGAAATGCATAATTTTAATCACATTCTACAGAATAAATATTATATAGTATTTCCGATAGCAAACAAGAAGAACAAGCTAACATTGCTCTGAACCAAAAACCAAACTAATGTTTCTGTGTTAATCATCAGCAGTCAGTAAGTGCGGGAAAGTATAATTAAGATTTTGAGCGAAAACGGAACTTAACCACAGCAGTAAACTTAAAATTATCTAGCAAAACGCACATAAAAAGACAAATTATCGTTTCGAACTATAACAGATAACAAAATCTCCGGAAAATTTGTTAATTATGGCTTTTACAAATGAGATAATTTATACAGTAATATTTATTTTAATGGTGGACATTAGCATTTGACCATTACTAAAGCCAAAAGCGGTGGCCATTTTATTATGGAGGCATGTAATAGGTTGCCACCGTTGCCTCCTATGAAGAGGCAGGCAATTTACATCAATATCTTCTTCGAGATTCGAACCCGGGCACTTCGGTACGGCAGTCAGTGTCACTAACCACGTTCTCACCTATACAGTAATATAGAAATATTTTAAATTTTTCATAGTTTACACTTTTTTATAAATGGTACAAATTTTTACGTGTCATTTCCGTAGAAAGGAAATTTTACTAAAGTGGTTCCCACTTCCTACACAGATAGATTTACTTGTTTGTTTAATGTATTATAGAAAAGTACGTAAATGTTAGATGGAGGAGAGGCGATGCCTTTGTGGAGGAGTACTTTATAAAGCCAATGCATTCTCGAGATCTTAAAATACGAGTGTTCAATAGGCTTACTCCATTTTAGATATTTCGTGAAAAGTTAAGCAAATATATCCGAAATCTGAATTACCTGAATACCTTATTTTTTTTGGTTTTATTTTATTTTTTTTGGCAGTTGAAACGTCTACAGTTTAGCCTACCACTTTCGTGTTCGCGACCATTTGTTAATTACACTACCTATGTTGCGATTACAGGGTTATCACCCACATGGCCTGACAAGTGTTGTTAGTTAACGAGACATGATGCCTTTGATTTTTCATTCATTTGGAATGATAGACTGCCACTTCAAGGTAAAATTTTTCAATATGACATAAAATATTTTATTTACCTTTTAAATAAAAGCAATACTTTGCTAAGTAAGGATAAAAGGAAAGGAAACAAGAAAACACGAAATTAAAAGAAATACACATAATTTCTTAATAATTTATACCTTTCATTTTGT